TGCGTGAGAACGGCATGCCGCTGAATATGACAACAGTAGCGCACACTCCACAGATGGACATTATTCAGTCGCTAATTATCAATCTTGATAATGAAGGTGGGCGGTGCGCAGTGGACTAGAAAAATGTCTTTCTTGAATTTAGTAAATTGATAGTGGTTACTTGATTTCTCCAGGTCGCTACCACCTACTCAATTGCATGGCGAATCAGCTGCGTTACCCAAACTCGCACACGTACTACTTCTCCAACACGATCCTCTACCTGTTTGCGGAGCTGTCGAAGGTGCAGCTGAAAGAGCTGATTAGTCGCGTGCTGATGGAGCGTCTTATTGTGAACAAACCGCACCCGTGGGGTCTTGTGATGACGGCAAATGAACTTTTGCACAACCCTGTGTACCGTTTCTATGAGCATGAGTTCGCCCAATGCCACAAGGATATAGAGAAGTGAGTTATCCAGCATTACTTTAACTTAATCAAGTGGTGCGCCTTAGTCAGCCACGTGTGCTTCTCGGCATGTCTGTCGGGATGTTTGCATTTGTGGCGGTGTAACGAATTCCTTGTCTCATTTTGCAGGATTTTAAAGGCTATTGCTGATGGCTGCAAGGCAAGCACAAACCCTCCAAGGAGTGCAGCACCTCACTCTTCGTCGTCATCGCCGGCGCTACACCAGCATCAGCAAACTTCTTCGGCCGCAACCGAAGCCAATCAGCCGTCTTCTAGTAGCTTTCCACACAAGCCCTAACACCCAAGCCCTGGCGATAGTCGGCCAGGCGCCACGCTGACCCCGCGAAGTCAATGGCTTATTGACAGTTCTCCCACCCTCGCAACCCTATATTTCGTTTCAGTTTGTGCGTGCGTGAGTCGAAACAAGACTCGCTACGCAGTGTGTCCGGTCTGCCTGTACGCATCTTGTCTCAAATGCAATTGCCTATGCAATGTGTGGTATGCGGAGGTAGTTAACAACTGGTAAGGCCCCAGCGACCAATCGGTGGTCACGAGAGTGAAGTAGGGGGTCTTAAGGGAAGTTGGTGGTTTTAAGTCTCAGTGAGTGGGCAGGGTTAGCCTTGCGGATTTTAAACGGCTGGTCAAATGTGGAAAATTTTAAGTGCACCTAGGCTTGAAGATTATAATAAACGTGTTTTTCTTTAACTTACAATCAGATAATTGAGCATTTGCTCACTTATAATCAACAACTACCTTCATTCAATTATAATTTGGAATCTTCTACGGAAATTTTATTTCTTAGCATCAGAACCATTGTCTTAGTACCTTAAGATATCACTGTCAATCAATTTTGCTAAAGGTTCTGTAATGTCAGGAACGCAGCAGTTTAACAAAAACGCAAAACAGTCAAATGGACAGTGTATTTGTTCCAGTTTGGAGTCACAGTTCGTTAATACAAAGTTATTTATTCCAATTAAGCTTTTAAAAACACTGACCATGGTAGATTTACATGGCTATTAAAAAATAACCCGAAAATATGCAGCTGCATACAGTGGTTTACGAATGCATGAAAATAAGAAGTCTTTCAGCAAATTAGCAAAGAATTTCGCAAGTAATCGCTACAAAATTCATATATACATTTGACATTGTCAAAAGGAGGGGACGTTTGTATAGATAACATAATGCACAGTAATGCGACTTTTAAGTACTGCACCATTCGGATTTTGAAGACTTTGATACATATTTAAAAATGATTGCGTGTCTCTTCATTATCCACCCACCAAAACTTCATTTTTTTTGGGAAAAACCTCACATTATGTGCAATCGCGTTTTAAAACACGGCCACACTGCTAATCATTTAGGTAAAAACAAACCTTGTTTGCTGCTAAAATGAGTACACGAGAACCCCCATGTGACCGGATATCAGATGATAGCAATATACAAACTAGGTACCAAAAATCAGACATCTTTATACAAAACACCTTCCCACAATCAAGTATATTTATTATTGCTTCTCAGTTCAAAAAAGCTGAAGTTCAATAAGATGACAATCGCCTTCTGGAGATCAAAATTATATTTTGAGTCATTGATTAATATGATGGAGAATAAGCAAAGCTAAAAATAACATAAAGGCCTAATTTTCACCTCTAACATTATCTTTTTACAAAAAGAATGACTACTGTTTATCGTGTTACGAGAGTCAAAATAATAAAAATACATCAAGCGGTCCCAAATAAGCCGCAATTTCTCATGTTGGAGTATTATTTAAAAAACTATTATTTGACGGGGTTCAGTAGATGAATTCTGCTTTACTGTTGACAAAAAACAAGTAATTATGATTTAAATAGAAATTGTGCATCTGAGTTCCATTTTATATGTTGTTTGCAAATTATTAAATTGTGTTGTCAACTCTGTTTAAAACGAACTAGAGGGAGAGATTTCCTTAAAAGTATTGATAATGCCAAACATATTTACCTCAATTAAAATTTCTGCACAAGTCAAACAGCAATCAATCACTTTTAGGCTCTTATCCCTTCCATGCAATATACATATTCCGGTGCACAAAACATGATATGCGCAAATGCTTTTTCCGACCTTAAGACTTCGCGGTCTTTCTAATCGCTCCCTGTCAGCGAACCGGCGGAGGAATTCCGATGTCGAATGATATTCCTAAAGTTATCTCCATGTGATATCTTTACTCAGCAAATATTGTTGGAGAATAAATGGGGTTCGAGAGCGCAGAAGTATTCAAGTTGTTGAGTATTTCTCCTGAGCGCCGAACTAATGAGGTTGGTGCATGCTTCTGCATATATACTCTGATTATTTTTTTTTAAATTTCCATACACGGGATGATGTTGCATAAAATATGTAAATTTTAATAAATGTTTTGATGATTGGCACTTTGTATCATGTGTAACGTTTCAGGTTTGTTTACAGTTGTCATGTTTTATTTTCGCTGACGTTAAGTACAAAATGAAATCTGTGTGGACATCGATTCACCTACACTTCTCTGTAATTTTTGCAAACATCGACTTCTATCATTTTCTCGTTTAAACATCGTATTCATGTACTGTGTATAATTTTGCCTGTTTACTGGATCCTTGAAGTTCTTGCGATTACTTGCCTTATTAACTGTTGTCTCCTCTTTCTCAATTTAAACAGCCTTCGCCATCGCTACTGTAGTCTGCCCTTTTGTAGAACTCTTTGATAAACTCTAGATCACTGGTAAAATTAGTTGTGGTGAAAAGCTTTTGCCTTCGAAATTTGAACAATCACGTTTTTTGATGATGCGTAAAGCCAAAATTATTAATTCCATAATGGGCAGCATCAGTTGGAGTATTCTTATGGCTACTGGTTTGTGTCTAAAGCAATCGCGATGGCAGGTATTTGAGTTTGATAGTCCTTCTAATGAACATCAACCATAGCATGTATTATTTAATTTATGCAACGTATTATGTGGGTACGACCTGCCTTTTAACACTCCCAAATACTTTTACAGGATATTGCTCAATTATTTGAGTATCTCCGTTCGATAGAAGGTCTAGTGAGTCTTCGTCCATCCTCACAACGGGATGCTGCTCTTCGCGAAATCTGTCGCATCGCCCGTCCCCTGCACGTTAAAGGCGACACCATGCTCTACCGACGAGGGGAACCCAGTACCTCCTGGTACATCCTCCTGTCAGGCTCTGTACTCATCGAAAGTTCTATGTTTCTGCCCAGAAATTGGTAAGACTGTTTGGTTGCTCTCCACGAGGCGTTGTATCATCTGCCTCCAGTGTCCGCGCATTTGTTAGTTACGATCCCTAAATTGTATAAGTTATAGAAGACGACTTGCTGGGTTTTACATGGCAATTTTTGTACAGCCCCATTACTCTTCGTGTAATGTGGCTTTGACCCTTCGCATTGATTTTTCATGAAACGAATCCTAATTTGTTAACTTGTAGCTTTGGAACTCGTCTCAATGGCAGTGTCCTGCGCCATCAGGATTGCTTCGTCCTCGAGGATTCAGATCTGATTGTAGTACGTTCACAAAATCGAAATTATTTTTCTGCGTATCTTGTTGGTCGTTACTGTAAGATAGGCTTAGTGCCTCCCGAGACAAGACCAAGCTTTCAAAAGCTAAGTTTAATAACCATCTGCAGACATAGATTTAGATTTGGCGCCTCAAACCTTGCATTGTACTTTTGTAGTGTTTGCCATACTGCCCCACTGTACTACCCTACACGAACAACTTTAGACGCACAATTGAGGGTGTTTGCGATCTCACTGCACCCTTTCGTTTTGATGTCTTGCCGATAGCTAAGCACTAAGAAAGGTGTTGTCTTTTGTTAAGATTAAGTACATTGATCGGGACCCTCTCCAAACGGGCTCGCCGCAGAACAAAACGACGCCTCCGCCGAGGGCGCAATTTCCACCTTCCTCAAGCAAAATCCTTGTGGTGTGTGACTTCTTGTTGTTTTTTGTTGGGTGCTGCTTCTCGCCTTTCATTTCACATGATCCGTTTCGATTAGGTGGCGTTGTGGTGTGGTGGTTCGCAAGCGCGTTGTTCCAGTGCACCCTTTCATTCTCTCTCACTCTTCCATCTTAGGTGCCGTCGAATGCCGCTACTGCCGCTGCCGCTGCCGCTGCCGCCGTGAACGGGAGCCAGGCACTCGGTGGCAGAAAGGTGTCGCAGCACGTCCCTCCCGAGCGGCAGTCTTCCCTGTCCGGGAGCGACTCGGCCATCTCCCGCACCGTGACCACAGCATCGAACAGCAGCAGCAGTCTGCAGGGTGGGGCAGGCGTGGACTCCGATTCCGATGGTGGCGAAGACGAGGACGATGACGAAGAAGAAGAAGAAGACGAGTTTGACTCGGGAAGTAGCAGCCATGAGGTGCGTGGCGTTGCTTTATTCCGATCGTGCGTTCTTCTCGTAGTACGATATGTTCCAAGTTTGGCTGTTATGGACAGTTACAGTACTAGGCTTTTTGACTGAGCTTGCGGCAACTCATTCCCTTGGTTGTTAGTGATGATCTGCCTTCAATCGCTTAGAATGCATTGTGTCAGAGTAATACCGACTTAGACGCCTATTCTGTGTGTTTTTCCCCCAGTCTCTTCGCGACAGTTTTTGGGATGCACTGCTGAAAGAACCGCGTTCGAGGACACCAGCGGATGTTGAAATCCTCGTGGAGAACGTCCAGAAGCTTCCTGTGAGTGGTGTGCTTACTTGCCGGAAATCGATGAATGCCTTCATTGGTTCTACATGCACAACCTGGAATTCGCTGCGGTGTCGTTGAATCTTGTGGCTCGTCTCGTACTTGCCACGCACTTCAAAGGACTCGATTTGGCGCAGTTATTACCCTTAAATTATCGAAGTTTTCACTTCGCTAAGTGTACTAAGTAGCAGTGAAACATTACTTTGCCGTGTCTGTATGAGAACATGCAACGTAGCCGCCGGTGTTTCAGGCGCCACTTTTTGTCGAGCAGAATCTGCTAGTGGAGAAAGCCTAGATAAGTTATTTTTTTGCAAAATGATTCGACACATTCATCGTAGACGTGGCGTCCAACCAATCGCCTACTCACTGAAGCAAGCAGCTGTGGTGTTTCATTGGGGGTGCCAAGCATTGCATTAACCCCCCCCTCTCTCTCTCCCCTTCTGGTTTCAGGCCTTTTCCAGTCTCTCCAGCGGGACGCGATACGCCCTGTGTCGCCTCATGTTGGTGGCGGTGGTTCGCGAGGCCGGGCAGGTGGTTCTCTCTGACGGTGAAATCCTCGACACGTGGTCCGTCATTCTCAACGGCACTGTTGAGGTGGGTTGCTCGGCCATCCCTCCACGTCCATCCTCGTTGTTTGGTGTGACCTTTCACGGGCTTAGGATGCATGTCTAACTGGCAGGTGTTATTGTGACACGTCAGGAAGTGATTGACAGCCAAACTAACCAATTAGAAACCACGTCCACTTGTCTACTGTCTTCATTCGGGAATGGATTGCGTTTTAGCCCCCTTAAAAGGCTATTATGCATTGAGCACGTGATAGGCGAGCTAAATTACGCTTCATCACATGTGGAAATGGAACCTCAAGAGGGTAAATTACCATACTAAACTGATCGCCGTTAAATGATATAACTCTGGTTGTAAATCACGAGGTCTGGAGTCTCTTGCTGACGTAGTTGGTTTAGTTTCACGCAGGGCAGGCACACTAACAGTTGGGCAGGGTTTAGTCTGTGTCGTTAACGTCCAGGCACCCACACCAGGCCGATCACGTGTCCTGGGGCGAGGTACCAGACTCCGCACAACTCCTCTCGGTAACCTTTTAGGTGGTGGAGGCGGACGGAACGATTCGTGAGTTGACCAGCGGCGACGCATTCGGTGTTCGGCTGCCGCCTGCGGGCAACTCGAAGGACGCGGCCTCGACGGTGGTGCCACCGCCTCAGCGTCATCGCGGCCAGATGCGCACGGTGACGGAGGATTGCCAATTCGTGTGCGTCGCGCAGGCCGACTACTTGCGCATCATGGCGCAGGCGGCGGACGCTGAGGTGCCCGAACTCGAGGAGGATGGTGGAAGGGTGGTTCTGGTGTACGAGGACATCAAGAAGGAGCAACAGTGCGCCGGATTGCCCACCTCTTCGCCCGCCTGCCGACTTGTCATCAAAGTGGGTTTCAGTGCCTTGTTTATTCCGACGCCGCGGTCAACTTACTCGTGGAAGGCGCGGTATTTGGCGTGTGCCATTGATTTGAGGCTATAAGTCCATGGGAAACCGAATTAAGAGGTGAAGGGAATGAGCACATCTTGAGAATAATCAGTTCTGTGACCATGATAGGACGAGAAGTCCAATCGAAGACCGACATAATGTCATATCTACTGATAATTTCTCCCCAACTGCGTGACACGACATCTATTGAGCAAATGTTGCGAGTTAGTAGCGAAAATGACTTCTCAAGCGAAAGTCTGCGGATCGCACTTGTTCAATCTACGAAGTTCTGGTTAGGGTTGTGTGGTTGAAGCCTTTAATCGCGTCGTCTTTACCCCCTAGGATTGCGGTTCGTTGTGGTATCTTTAGTGATTCGTTTTGTTGGCGCTTGCCACTATCGGGTGGGGGATGAACATGTTGTAAAAATGGCATCAAGTGTGTCCACCTACCTGACAGGGCACTCCAGAGAAGTTGATTGACCACCTGAAATGTCCGGAGCCTGGGGACCCAAGCTATCCGGAGGACCTTCTCTTGACGTATCGCACGTTCCTGCCAACTCCGGCGCTTTTGGTGACGCGTTTTCTGAGTTGGTGGGAGGCCTCCGATGCCTCGACGGATCGTGCTCTGCGCGCGCGCATCCAGCGCTACGTGCTGCTGTGGGTGCACAACCACCCCGAGGACTTCCACGATCGTCCAGCGATGCTTCGCTTCCTCTCCCGCTTCAGCGACCTCCTGCAGAGGGAAAGCGGCATTCGACGGCTCCTGCACTTGGCCTGTTCCACGAAGGCCCGCCAACGCATCGTTGAGGTGCCCTTCACTCTGGTTGTCGGCGCCCAGCACCAACAAGCCCACATAGTCCTCCCCTTCGTTCTTGTCGGCGGACAGGGCGATTTCGGCATATTCATCAACCAGGCGGAGGATGATGGCGGTGACAGCAAGAGGGGTGACGACGAGGGCTACGAACTGCGCCCAGGTCTGCGAAGGGGTGACCAAGTGAACACCGTCCAACACAGCTCCGTTGAGGGCATGTCGCTGGCCCAATTGGCCTCGGTGCTCGCGTCGATCGTGATGAATGGTGTGAACCAGAGGCAGGCACCGGGCAGCACTAGCAATCGGTCCATTTCACTTGCAGTCACCTTCAATCCCTCGCGTACGTAATCTTGCAATGCTGAACTTTTGCATTTGCTCAACGTGCGACACACGGTTGGTAGAGCTACTGCTCGTTTTTTGACTCAAATTGCACACAGGGGAGACCCATTGGCCTTCCGGAATGTTCAGCACATTCGGGCGTTGCACTCCCCCCGACCTGCGTTTTCGCATAAAGCGCGGATTTTTAGTGTCATTGTTTGACAATCTCCCAGGGGGTAGAGGACGGATCCCCAGCAAACGGCACATACCTGCTCTCGCGTAAAACAGCTGCTACCGGCTGGCGCGAATTGTGTGTGAGAGCGGGCAAGATGGCCGCTTGTGGTCTCATTTTTTTTCTGTTTCCGGTGCGATTGCGTGGATGTGCATGTGTAAACGTTTATGAGTGCCACAATGCTGTGAAAAATGTGGCATTTCCTCCTCTCTCTCTCTCTCTCTCTGTCTCTCTCAATGTGGTTGTGTGTGTGCCTGTTCGACTGTGCATATTATTACGAAATGCCCAGGTATCACAGGCATGTAAATTCAGGCGAATCCACTCGCCTGCATCGACTCGTCCATCTGGCGCTTTTGACTGTGGAGATGGTGAAAGGAACCTTTAGACCACTCGGACATGCTTTCGGTTAGTCCGGTCGGGAGCCCTCTCAGTTGTTATTGATCCGACGCACCTGGCGTACCTCAGTCCCACGGAACGTGTTGTAGGGTGAAGTTAGGTTTTTCGCTTTCAAAAGGGAAAACTAACGCGCACCCTCGCGCAACTTGGGGTGATGTGTACCGTCGGGTGATCTCGTAGCAGCTTGCACGTTTTTGTGCAAAATGTGTCGGGCGAAGTGTGCCTGCCAAGACCTGTCAACAAAAACCGGTGCATGTTAATAGAAGTATGCGTGTTGCGTCTTTTATCACGATGACTAAGCAGTGTGTGTGCGTGTGTGTGTGTGTGTGTATGACTAATTACAACACTTAGAGCCTGTTTGAAGTTATCCGTCTAATGACAATCATGTGAGGCTGTGCGCTGTGCACAGCGACTCGTCCCGTCCCAATGTCTGAAAGCAGATTTCCGCTGGATTTGATTGGCAGCCCTCGTCTTCGCGTCTGATTGGCGGGCATTGGTGTGGTCTCGTGGCGAAAGGGCATTTTCTTGGGGCGGACCCCAGATAAGCCCAACATGCTCGAGGCAGTTGTGCGCCTCAGCTGGACTGTTTTTGCCCATTTTTAGTAGGAGGTAAAAACAAACTGCGCAGTAATGTGCCTTAATAGCTCACTGCTGCGCCGCTGCTTGCTAACATTACTGGTTCCTCGGCAAAAACCACAGGCTTGTTTTAGCCCGCGCAATGCGCAGTCAACCGCACATGCGGAAGCTGCGTAGACAATGTTCCTCTTTATTTACTGGGGTGTTCCAGTTGTACCCGTGTGTTTAGTAGTCGGGTGTGGTTACATTGATGATTTGTTATTCTACACTGTCTGGCTTCCAAAATGTGGAAACCGCTTTCACCTTGTTGCATAAATGTTGTTCGTGCTTGCATTGCATTGCAACTATTTGTCCGAAGTTGCAAGAACAGGCCTGCGTTTTTGCAGGTTTGCTGACGATTGACTTCCATAGAAACGATGTCAATTTGGTGACTGAAATTCAATTCTGCCGTTTTCGTTGCTTGCAAGCCAAAGAGGCAAGACGCCGATATTGAGATTTTGCCAAATGCCTACTGAGATAGTTATCTGCGTGACTTTTGTGGTGAGAAGTTGATGACACGACTGACCGTCCACCCACGTTCACTTAGACTACAAGGGATTTGTTTGCGTGTCGCGTCAGCAGTTTCACCGCCTTAAAACCGATGCTAGTGATTGAAAATGCCTTCCACAGGAGGTTAAACGGGTCGGTTGAATTGGCGTGACTCAGGAGATGATCATCGGGCAGGCCAGTGCGTTTGCGTGTGTTTGGTGATGATGGCGGGCGAATGCGGTCACAACCCTAAACGTCACCGGTAATAAAAATTGACCTGACTAGCTAGTGCTGCGGCTTCGTGCACAACCAACCCAACTTCACAAGTGACCTTACAAACACGCGTTTTCTGCCACTTCATGAGCAGTCGATTCAAAAAGAGCGGCATTAGTAGCGTTCGCTGTCAGTCGAGATATTTCCATTCCTTGTTATCGTTTGGCTTGGCTTGTCTGCCTTGCCTTCGCTGTTGTGTTCGGGAACAGAGGTGAGAATCGGGATTCAAGAAGTACTAGTTGAAGGGGTATCACGTCGGGGTCATTAGTTGTAGTGGGCCCCTCTGTGGTACCTGCAGAATCACGACCGTTAACTTGACAGGTCAGCGGATTTGTGTTGGTCGCGTCCCTGCACTCAACTGCGTGTCTGACCAAAATTGGGCTGTCGATCAATGCACCTTGGGTGGACCTGTAAAAGTACAAAAGGCTGAAGGCTCAAGTGAAGGAAGTCGGTAGTGTGGGGTGGTGGTGGGGGAGGGGAAGGGAGGGGAAGTAACGGCTTGGGGTAGCTGTGAAAATGAGGTCAGAATGGTGAAGAATGCGACAACTGGGTTAATGGGTGTGAATCAGCACGACTCACTGCACCCTGTACTGTGTGCGTTCACGGAGCTGGCTTTGGTCGATATCCGCACACTGTGGTCATATTAGACCCACACACGCAGCATGGAGGAAATCGTAATATATCTGACTCATTCGCCACCATGGAGGACCCCAAAACACTTGAATCGTGCGAGATCGTTGGACTGGTGGTCGTGCTGCATCAATTTTGACCTCTCGAAACGACTTTCGCTTGGCACTAAACGCAGAACATTAGCACGCCTCTGTTATGTGCAGTTCGCCTCCCAACCCCGTTTCTTCTCTCGAAAACAAACTTGTTGTATCAGAGTTTGGCGACATACTACACCGTATCGCCAGTTGCTTAGCTAACCTCACTTGTCAAGCCTGCTGTGGCGTCTACCCGTACCAGAACAAGGCCTGTCATGTCGCCCTACACCTTACACTGCACGTCGCCACTGTGACAACTGTAGAAAAGAAAGCTGGTCCGTGGTTGGGAATGCGCGTGTGCACTTTGACATGCCATTCCCGCACTTGGACATGCCATTCCCGCTGTTTATTATTATTATTATTATTTAGGGGTGATGTGTTGTTGTTGTTGTGGAACACATCCGTCTTCCCGCATGTGCGTTTTCGACGTCACGCTGTGGTCACTGTTTACGGTAGAACAAAGTGCTTCGCTTGTCACCGACAAACGTTGTGCGCCGATCGCCCAACCGAATGTGCGGATTCGTGGCCGCACGATGCGCTGTCCACATGGTCATCCGTAGTGTCCGTGACAGATGTGTGTGTTCACCTGTTGCATTCCGGTTTAAAGTAAAATCACACAGGAAGCAATTTCGGATTGAAATGTCAATTACTTTTCGTCCACTCGCGCTCACACACACGCACACACCCGAAGTCCCCTGTGGTCGATGTTGAGTCTCGTAAATCACCAACCACAATTGCAGTTTCGAAATACGACCGGTCATTTTAGAGTTTGGCTGTTGTTTGTTGTCCTTATTTTGTTGGATAACAGCGGCTGCTACTGAGGCGGTTCACACTGTGAGCTGTTAATGGAAAAGCCGGTAGCGTTTTTCTCCTGCTCCCACCCAGCTGCACCGTATCGAAGCAAATTGGCAAGTGTGAGACCACTTAATCACTTAGTGCCTGCTTTCATTTGTCAATAGGTCTACTTTCTTCCTTCCTTCCAGCCAACCCTTCAATTTATCCACAATCCTTTCGTAGTTAATGATAATTCATATCTCAGGGCGTTGTGTGACTAGTGAATGAAACGGAAACTTGACGTCTGTTTTGGTTTGCAGACTTCTACGAGTTGATGTCCAACGTGGGCGAGCTGGAATTGGAATTCACCACGCCGGTCTGATCGACCGAGACCGGCGCGCTGTTGAAGAACTCTTCGTCAACCAGAAGATCCAGGTCGGCTTGACACACCACCGTCACCTGTGCCAGTGATACGCACTCCTGTCAATTAAATTATTCCAACTTTTCTTTGAAGGTGCTGATTGCAACCTCAACACTTGCCTGGGGCGTTAACTTTCCTGCGCACTTGGTGATCGTCAAGGGAACCGAGTACTTCGACGGCCACACGAAACGGTACATCGATTATCCCATCACCGGTAAGCCTGCTGCACACACTTCCCCTCTACATTTCGTCGTCCACTCAACAAAACTGGTTACTGTAACGGACCTAGTAGTTGAAGCCTTGTTCCCACTGTCACCTCTCCTTGTACAGACGTCTTGCAGATGATGGGTCGCGCTGGTCGGCCGCAGTTTGACATGGAAGGCAAAGCCGTGGTGATGGTGCAGGACACGAAGAAAGCCTTCTACAAGCGCTTCCTCTACGAGCCATTCCCGGTGGAGAGTTGTCTGCCCAAGATCCTGCCGGACTACCTCAACGCGGAGATCGCTGCTGGCAGCGTCACCTCAATGCAGGGCGCCCTTGAATGTCTAACCTGGACGTTCTACTACCGCCGGCTCTTGGTGAATCCCAAGTCAGTGCTGGTTGCCCGTCTCTTTCATCATCGATGCCTTTTTAACCAAAGGTTGGTCTTTCTAGTTACTACCAGCTAGAAGAGGCCTCTCCGACGTCGGTCAATGCATTCCTCTCCAAGGTCGTGTCAGACGCCGTCACCTGCCTACTCGACTCTGGATGTGTTGAAGCGGACAGTGAAGACCCAAGTCTGACTCTGTATTCCACTTCAAACGGACGTCTCGCCTCGTTCTACTACCTCTCGCATCGTACAATTAGTCTCTTCATAGACCAGATCATGCCCACCTCCTCCATTGAAGATCTTCTCTACATCCTATCGGTGCGTCTGCTTATCAGCGTTTACGCAGTGTGTTTTGGTTAATGGAGTCCGTGGCATTTGTTCCCCTACAACAAACATGGTGTTTTAAACGGTCTAAAGGCTGTTATGATCTCTAATTTCTGACTGGGTCCTTGTGATATCAAACTAACGAAAGTTGAAATAGCCTACACACTTTTAAGCAAGTAGTAGTGTATTTACTTGAACTTAAGATGTGCGAGGAGTTCGCCTTGATGCCAGTGCGTCACGGGGAGGATGAAGTGAACGCGACTTTGGCCTCTCAAATGCCGTTGCGCGTGCGTGGAGCAGCCGACTCACCCCACACAAAGGCGCACATTTTGCTGCAGTCGCACCTCTCGCGTCGCACCCACCAGCTGCCCATCGCCGACTACGCTACCGACACCAAGTCCCTCCTCGATCAAACTCCCCGCATAATCCAGGTCAGCCAATCAGCTTTCAGCGTTGAGTTACTGTCGCGATGATGCGCCTGGTCTCCGCGTTTGTCCGGTTAACGTGCTTCCCGTACATCCCGTTGTAGGCCATGATCGACTTTAGCGCTGAGCAGGGTTGGTTGGCGTGCACCTTGCGGTCGATACTGCTGGGTCAGATGCTCACCCAGGCGACGTGGTTGGAGGACAGCCCGCTCCTTCAGCTTTCTCCTGAAATCAATTCTTCCCACCTTGCGGCCTTCAGGTACTACTATGGCGATGTTGTTGACGCGATGTTGCTACGTGTTCCACAGTCCCTGTTGTCTGGTGGGTGGTTGATAGATGGCTCCTGTTTCTTACGAGCACAAGTCGTTAACTCACGGTTACTCCTACGCGTCGTGAATCAACTTGAAATAAGTTTTGAAATGAGGTGTAGCATTTTCATTATGTCATGTAATATGAGCTCGAGAGAGGAACAAGTGCTGGAATTGCGATTAACACTATCGAAGGTGTTTACCAGGATTGGGCTGCTACCTATGGAAGTGACAAAGTGTGGTTCAGTCGATTTCTAGTTTGTGAATTCAGTGTAAACGATAAACGTCGCTCTGAACAACTTTGCAACATTGATAATGGCTGTGTCAGTGATTTTGTGCGTAAACTTGCATGGCTTTACACTAAAGAATTTGCTGAGCTGCTTAACGCTGACATTCTGACTAAAAGTAAAGTTGGTCCACTTCGAAACTCGATAGTTGGGTTCCGCAATGTTCGACAGAATCGAAAAAACTGATGTGTGTTTCAGCGGCTATTCCTTTTAAGGCATGAAATTGTAGCGAATCAAAGCATGCATGGTATGTGTGTAACAACCAAATTTGTAGAAAGAAGGCGGAAGTGTGGAGGTTAAAGAGCAGCCCGTACGGCAGACACGGATTTGTATCCGACACAGAAAATATCTTAGATGTTTCTGGCGTGTCGTAATCCCCATGTTCGTGTTGTTTTCTGTACAAGAAATCCCCATGCGAATGAGTGCGTAGAGACGTTGGCGGAGTTGTTGGAACTGGTAGACACCGCGCCACACCCCTACGCGCTTCTCGATGTCGTTGCCGATCGTCTTTCGCCGGACCTCGTCAAACGGATAAGCAAGGTAAGGGGATGCACCATCCTACTTACTGATTGGTTACTACTAACTGGACGGGCCTTGTGTGTTATGCTGATGAGCAGGGCAGCGAATTGTCAACTTCCGTTTGAAGAAAATCCATGGGGCACCGATTGGACACGGATTGGTTTGCGTTGGCACTCTGCGATCACCGCGGCGGCCTACGGCCAATGCCCCCACGTCCTGCCTCCTGTTATTCACATCCTCGCAATATTGTGTGGTTCTAGATTCACCGATTCCTTCGATTTCCGCGATATCCTCCACTTGGGCTTCCCTCTTACGCCTAACAAGTAGCCTTCAAGCTCGTCCAGTTTAATTCAAACACCGATTCATGTCGCTTTTTGCGTTAACCAAAGACACTAGTGCTTTCAAAGTCTTGCACACTGATTCGAACTGTGTTGTTGACTTCTTGCAGATGCTGCCTTATCTGCCGCGAGTGTCAGCGACGCTGACGTTGGTTGGTGGACCGTCGAATGACGAGGAGACAACTGCGAGTCGTAGACCGATCCCTGTGGTTGGACTGGACGTCACGCCGGAGGAGAGTCGCAGAAATCCAACCGATGTGTACTTTGATACGGACTATGCGCTCTGTGTTACGATCCACCACGAAAATCCCTCCATGAGCCGAGTAATGTCTTGTTCTACTTCCTATCGAGCATGCGCACCCCTTTTCTCCTAACACTGCACTCGTTAATAATCGGTTTTGCTCCTGTGGTGCATTTACTGCATCGTTTCCATCACCATTGAATAGGGACAACGACAGAACCGGGAGCAGCAGCAGCGGAACCCTGGTTGGGTGGTCGTCCTCGGTGAGCTGCAGAGCCCCTCCGAGGGGGTCCTCCTGGCACTGCGGAAGCTGCCCCACAGGCGAACCAACTCGCGCACATCAACGGCCTCGCTTTCCTTCCGCTTCGACTCGACGGAGCGAGCCTCGGCCGCTGGCACCACACTGCAATTGACGCTTTACCTCATGTCCGACACCTACCTCTCTCTGGATCAACAGTTCGCCTTCTGTGTTCGCCTCGCTCCAGCCCCCTGCAGTTCAGCGGAAGCAGAAAACGATATTTGAATGTGGATATCAATTGTCTCTTCTCTAATGTTTGCAATGATCAAAAATGTTTCTGCTTTCCGTTCACCTTAGTTGCTATTTTTTGTCACATTGTTTAATTAAACCAAAAAAGGATCATGGAAAGAACGCCCCAAAAACCAGTCAATAGGAGGATTTTCTTAGAAACTTCCAACCACATTGTACTTAAAAGACAATTGTACAAAGCAGCAATTATTAGACTATATATGTGTGTGTATATATACGTATATTAATTATGCAAGTCTAAAAGCAACTAAGTCGGCGGTTTGGGTTGGACGAAGTTGGTGGATTCACTGGGGAGGAAAGGAAGGGAGGAGGGGAGGAAGGCAAATTTGTCGGACACACACGTATGTACAAAGACACTTGGTGAGGCGGAGAGCTGCTTTCCACGCGGTCCGCTCATCGCACCGTTTTGACCTTCTAAATGAGAAGCGGGAGAGTAACCTTGACGATGGAAATTTTCACAACACGTGGAGTGTATCAGTGTAGGCAGATCATACCTTCATGACATGGTGAATAAATTCACTGAAACATGCTGTGGTTGGTGTGCGTTTGAATGACGTTCAAATTCAAGTACCTGGCATCGCGATTGCTTTCGACACAAACCAGTAACCATAAGGAGACCCAAACTGATGCTGCCTGTTATGGAATTATTAAAGAAAACTCGATTGACGTTTAACCCAAGGAACGTGATTTTTTCAAATTTCGAAAGGAGTAAAAGTATTTCATAATAGCTACTTTTACCAGTGAGGTAAGGCTTATCAGAAAGTTCTATGAAAGAAGCAACAGACTTTTGCAGCAGTGGCGATGGCGATGGTGGACAGATTAAATGCAGAAAAAGAGCACAACAGTTGATAAGGCAAGTAACCGCAATAACTTCGAGGATCCAGTAAGCAGGCAAAAATTAAGCAAACCACACGCCGAAGATGTTAAAACGAAAAGGAGATAGGAGTTGACCCTTACAAAAAACTACACAGATGTGTACGTGAGTCGATGCCCACACATATTTTATTTTGTACTTAAAATTAGCAAAAGTTAAGCATGAAATGTGTAAGCAAACGAGAAGCCTTAAACATGATAAAAAGTGATAATCATCTAAACACTTTTTTTGAATTTTACATGTTTTATGCAATATCATCCCGTGTACACAGATTTAAAAAAAAATAAAACAATGTAAGTAAATCAGTGGCAGAAGCCTGCACCAGCCTCATTAGTTGGGCACTCTGGAGGAATACTCGGCAACTTGAATGCGTCTGCGCTCTCAAACCACATTTATTTCCCAAAAAATATTTGCTGAGTAAAGATACTACATGGAGATAATTTTAGGCATATGATTCGACATGGGGTTTTCGAAAGAGCGCGCGCTAATTAGGTCTTAAGCTCTTGATGCCAACTCTCGTTGCCTTCTATGGTTCTCCCACATAAATGGCTGTATTCAGGTTAATGGCGTCGATTTGAAGACTCTCTCGAACAAAGCAGCCGCCAATTTGCCCAAGTAATCGGGTCCCGTCGTCCGTCTCACCACCTTCCACCTCCGCCACAACACCTCCGGTCGGGTCTGCGAGCAACTCAAACAACTTGGTAGGCGACTGCTCTGCCCCCTCGAAATGCTCTCCAATTGAGAGGTTTTAAGGCCTGACATTTGCGTCTGCGCTTTCAGTTCCTCCTCCGCCGGGAAGACCTTCGACGACGTGTCGTGCGTTGGCGGCCCGTCCGTTTGGACTTTGAGGAAGACCTCACATTTGCATGATTTATCAGTCCACGCAGAATGAATGCAAAGTCAATTAACTACTAATCCAGCTAAACAGAAAAAAAACATTATTCGACAATTGATGAAGGTCATAAAAAGCGACGACTATTGACTAGTATGTGACGCAGTTAAAACACGAATATAGCGTGAGCTCTAACCAATTCGGAGGAATCGGACATAAGTGAATTATCGACCCAACTTGAAGCAATATGAATAAACTAAAATATAGTAGATCGATCGTGTTTAAAGCACACAAATGGAAATTCAAAAGCGACAAATTAACACCATCAAATTAATTGAATTTGTGCTCGGTGGTATATATGGAGTGAGTTGAGTTAGAAATGCCACATTAAAACATGATAATTAATCCAAGTCAATTGGTTACCCCACTCCCAACCCCCTCCTCCCGCAACCTCTAATCTGATTCGAATTTGACCGAAAATCAATCTATGGTGAGGATGAATTATCATCTGTGGATGGACTTAGAATGCCTTGAAATGAACCCAAAAAAGTGGAAAATTGAATTGACGCAATTGGAATCACACTAGTTGGATTGAAGGTAGGTAGGTGGGTAGGTAAATATCGGTCCCAGTTATTTGATGACGCCGAACAACAACGACCAAATGTCAAATTGAGTGGATCATAAGGGTGCAATTGCCATGACACACGCAATTCAATTGAGTGATTCATGTTAAATGATATCGAATGCACCAATAGGATAAAAATGCAAATCACATAGCAAATGCAGCAACAGCAGCAGCAGCAGCAGCAAAAGGAGCTACTTTCAATTATCGGTCCGTGTTAAATTGTAGTGATTGAATCAAAAAATCGATTTTATCAGCAATACGCAGTGAATCAAATGTCAGTCTAAATAAGGATATTATAAACTGTAAATTAATCAGTAATCGGTAGGAAAAAGGTGCAGAAACATTAGGCTAGTTTGTAGGTCAAATAAAGTGACATTAGATGAAATTTAATGAAGCACTATTACCCCTTCAAGCTTAATTAACCACCACCAGGTGCCCACCACCAGGTGCCCACCACCACCACCTTAGAGGTGCATAATTACTGGTGGTGTAATTAGAAGCATGGCACGAAATTAATCCAACCATTGATAATGAATTTGTGTCTAATTCAAATGTTAGAATACACCGGTCATAGTTACAGATAAATCACTTGTCGATTGAAGTGCAAAACCGCACCAAAACTAGTGCGATTAATTGATACTTTACCAATTTAAGCGATTTAAGTTCCAAGTGGGAATCCTAAATCACCTCTGATTATTGATTATTTCTGCGTGACAGAGGCAAATCAACTTAAAATCGTAATATCAATTCTACGTAAAGTAACAATCGACGCAGAAAACTGGCGATAGAAAGAGTAAATAAACTACATTAAAGCTAATTAATCATTTCCGAGGCGTTGATTACAGGCATTGAAAGAAGTAACCCAGTTCACCTATCTGATATTAACGATTGAATTAAAGTATTTACGTTGAACCTATCTGCCGATGCGAACACAATCAATTAATTATCTTTGTGTTATGAGTGAGTTAAAAATGAAAAGTCACTATGACAAAACAAATGTTATTGGTGGCCGTGCAATCTGATTACACCAATTTGTTACTGGGGGGGGGAGCAATTGGACAACATGAAATGAGTTGAATAGAAACAAGTTATCGATTCAATAAAAGCCACATTACTCTACTTTGAATTAAAGTAAATATCTACTTAATTCGATGCAATTAATTAACTGACGATTTGTCAATCTTAAGCCAGGTAAAATATTCAGATTAAAATTAAAAAGTGATTCATTTTACTGGGGTAATTAGTAATGTGCAAGTTTTTGATAGTGAATGAGTCATCGCCGATTAAATTAATAATAATAGTGGTATTAACAATGCATCTCGAATTAAATTAAATATCAAACCACCCACCCACCCCCTATCTCGAATTAACTGTCAACATGACATGATGCGATACACTGCGAGGCGGCAAAGGAAATAATTATCGATCGTGTATCAAGTAAGTTGGAAATCGAAATTAGGAACCAGTTATCGATTACTGGTCGACATGCAATTGAAATATCGATCTTAGTTGCTGAATCAAAAGCCACCAACAATACTCCAAACTGTTTCGAATTGAGATTATTACCGACCCAATCTGATGCAATTGACTGATTAATTGAAATACAATACCTAAATTACTGGTCAAAATCACCAAAATTCAGGTTTTTTACAGAAACAAGAAAATAACGGGGGCAATTAGACGAAAATGAAATGAGGTGAAAATAGAGCAGCAGCAACAGCAGGAGCAACTGTGGATTGAATTAAAACCGCAACAATAATTATCTACTTGGAATTAATACCAACTATTGACCCACCTTAACCGGAAGTGAATGATAGTGTTAACAGTAATTATGAACTGTTTTTTTCTGAGTTGAAAATACAAATTAAAAACCAACTACTGATTATTTGATCCTTGTTTAATTAAATCTATTAAACAGGTCTTGTGTTTGTTAGAGAGATAAATCATCATCATCATCACCTTGATTGTCATTATTATCGCCACCAGCATCACCATCACCGCCACGAATCTCACTGCCATCAAAATCACGCATCATTTTCATGGTTATTATCATTATTATCATCACTATACTTATCATCATCATGATAACCATCATACGCGTCGTCACGAGTATCACCATCATGATCATCATCGGCACCACCGGCATCATCATTATCATCATAATTGACGTAATCATCACTGTCACGATTGTCACCATCACTACGAACATTCCCGCCATCATCACTACCACCACTGTCGCTATCACCACCATCGTCGTCACAAATACCACTGTCACTATCGTTGCCATCTTTATCAGTATTATCACCGTCATCATCACTATCACCGTCATCGTCATGATCACCACGAATGCCACTACCACTACCATCGTTATCATGGCCATCATAATAATTGCTATCATTATCACTAGCATTATCACGATCACCAATACCAGCATTATCATCATCACAATCGCCACGATTATCGCAATCGCAATCACCGTCATCACTGTCGCTACCATCATCATCGTTGTCACGAATATCACTACCATCATCATCATTACCGTCATCATCACCATGACTACCACCCTTATCATAGTCACCATAGTCATTACCATGATTACCATTCTCACTACTTAAAATTATTAGCAGTACTATCATCATTACAACGATTGCCACTATAATGATAAACACCATCAGAGTTATCCTCGTTATCATTATCACGAATACCACCATCATCACCACTGTCATCATTATCATCGTGGCCACTAGTCTCGTTTCCATGATTATCATTTTCGCCATTATCATTACTGCCATTAACGTCACCATCATGGTCTTCACCATCGTCATCACCATCACGATTGTCATTATCACCATCATCGTCATTACGAATATCACTATCGGCACCATCGTCATCATCATCACCATCACCATCATCACTATATTTGTCATCATAAACATGACTATGATCATCTTGATTATCACCATCACCACCATCATCATTTTCACGGATGTTGCTATCGTCACCATAATCATCATCACCATCATCACTACCGTTATCACTAACACCGCGGCGAACATCGTTTTCCTGATTTCCATTATCATCCTTACCACCATTATCGTCATTACAACCATTATAATCACTATCATAATCACTATCATCATCGTCATCATCATTATTATTATCGTCATTATGATGATTTGCATGATCCAAGGTAGCGTTGTTACCATCACCCCCATCATCACCACCACTATCACTATCATCGTTCCCATCGTCACCGTAATCATGGTTACCGTCACCATTATCATTATCATCTCTACGTTATCATTATCATCGTTGCCATTACCATCGTTTCATGAATATCATTATCGTGGTCACCATTATCACAATTGTCGCTATCATTAACATCATTATCACCATCAATATCATCATTATCACGACTGCCACTATCAGCATTATCGCCATCATCATCATTGTCACCACTGCCGTTGTCTCTATCCCGGTTATCATCATTATCATCGTTATAAACAACATTAAAAATGTCACTATCATTATTATTATTGTTAGCAATCGTGTCAATGGAGAGTTTAAAATAGAAATTCAACATCGTTCAGTACTGATTACTGATCGCCGTCTGCTGTAATTTTTATACCGGTTTTAATTACAGACAAATGAGTTATCGATCGAATTAGAAACCACACCACACCACACCAGAGCACATCACACAACACACTACACTACACCACACTTCACTAAACCACACCACACAGCACCAAATCGCATTACACCACACTTCACCACACTGCACGCCACCCCACACATCATCACACTTTACTAAACTGCGCTCAACTGCACTCTACTACACTACAATGCACCACACTACACCACACTGCACCACACTGCACTACACTAAACCACGCCACACTTCACTACACCACGCCACACCAGACCACACCGCAATACACTAAACCACACCACACTTCACTGCACCACACCGCAATCACACTACACCACAGTTCACTAAACTCCACTCCACTGAACTACACTACTCCCCACCTCACTCAAATCCAAAATTAACTATCCATTAATGATCTCTATTTAATGGAATTTGCTTTACCGGTTTTAGTTCGGGATAAGTAAGTACGTAAGTAAGTTAACGATTGAATTTTAACTGCAGCAAAGTACTTGGAATAAATGATTATCGATCGCGTTTACAGTCGTAAACACAAAATGCAAATGCGCGATTGATTTTGCATTGATCTGCGTTGAATGAAGCATGGGGCAGTTTGGCATGGTTACAGATCAGTCGATAACTGATTTATCTGCAGCTATTTCGAAAAACGATCGAAAACATTGGATTATTACTATCATGATCATCACCATTACCATGATTAACGCCATCATCATTATCGCTATCATTATCACCATTGTCAATATCATCATCATCTTCATTATCACGATTACCACTACCACCACATTATCGACATCATGTTTGCCCTTACCATTGCCATGACTGTCATCATCATCATCAGCGTCGATTTCTATCATCACCATCATCAACATGATTATCATCACCGCCGTCTTCACTACAATCAGTGTCATGGCCATTATCATCATTACCATTATAGTCACCGCCACTATCATCACCGTCGCCATCATTACCATCACCATCGCTATCAACATCGTCATCATCATCGTTATTATTACTAGTATATTAGTATTATCGACCTCGTAATGATGAGTTCAAGGCTGAAATTGAAAACCACCCACCATTGGTCACCGATCTCCACCTGATGCAATATATATATATATCGATTTTAATTGCAGCCAAATGAGTTATCGATCGAAGTAAAACTACAACAAACCACAGCACATCACACCACACTACACTGCACTACACCAAACCACACTTCACTACACTCCAATATTTCGATTGGTTTTAATTACAGCCAAACGAGTTATCGATTGAAGTAAAACCACACCACACCACATCCCACTTCACTAAACTGCACCTCACTATATCAAATCACACCAAACTTCACGAAACCACGCCTCACTAAACCACATCACACTATGTGGGATTAATTGCACCGACCGAGTTCTCGGCAATTAATTGGTGATAAACTAATCGACGTGTTCTAAGTAAGTTCAAAATTTGAATTCAAAACTTACTACCGATTATTAATGAGTTCTGTCAAAATAGATCAGTAAAGTAAATATCGTTGCAAAAGTCTGCCCGTAAATGGTATTAAAATTAATCAATTATCGATCCAGTTTATGCAATAATTAACGATTTAAAGTGAACAAATAATCAACCCAACGTTAAAATTCCAATTCAAGATCGCAGGTAAATTATTAATTCCTGCTTATTAACACCAAATCATCATCATCTTTTCCGACTTTAAAAAGTACCAATTTTAGTTAACAAGGATAAAAAAGACCAAATTCATGCATAAGTAAAAACCTAAACAGCCTCCATGAATTTCAAAATGTTTGGTTGAAATACAAAATCTAAGTGCTAAATTATGTATTCATTAGTGGTCCCGGTTAGGTCAAAATCACTTAATAAACTCAGGTTTATATAGAGAAACAATAAAATAAGGGGGGTAATTAGACGAAATGGAATGAGGTCTAAATAAAACAGCACAGCAGCTATGGATTGAATTAAAACCACACCAATAACAATCTGTCTCGAATTAAAACAAGCTATTGACCCACCCAGCCCGGAATTGAATAATGATGGTAACAATAATTCAAACTAAAAATCAACTACTGATTAATTGATCCCTGTTTAATTAAACGCATAAGAGAGGACTTGTGTCAGTTAGAGAGATAGATGATCATCATCGCCATCATCATTATGATTATGATTACCATCACTATCATAATCATTACCGTCACCATCATCGTTAGCACCATCGCAATCATCATCATCATCATTACGAACACCACTATGATCATCTCCATCATCGTCATCAACATCGTCAATACCATCATCCCTAACATGATGAACATTATCATCACTATTACTAACAGTATCATGACTATCATCATGCATATAACTATTATCACTACCATCGTCACCGTCATCATCATCATTATCGCCGTCATTTTCGTCATCACGAACATCACTATCATAATCATCGCCATGTATCTCACTACCATCAAAATCACTAGCATAATTCTCAAGATTACCATCATTATCACGACCATCGCTATCATCATTATCGTCATCATCATCACGAACATTATTATCATCATCGTTAGCATTATCATCACTATCTTTAGCACCATCATCACTATCATCACGAATGTCACTACTGTCATCACCATCATCGTCACCCTTCCCGTTATCATCATCGTTATCATCACTACCACCGACACTATCGTTATCATCCTCATCAATATCATCACGATTATCACTATCGCCACCATTATCACCACTATCGTTATCACCCGAATCATCATCATGATCATTATCATCATTGTCATTTTAATGGCTACCATAATCAAGGTTAGCATTATTATCATTAACACAATTACCATCATCACCGTAAATGTGATCAACGTCACCATTATCACCATCATCGTTCCCATCGTCACCGTAAACATGATTAACGTCACCATCATCATCATCTCTACCGTTATCACTGGCATCGTTGTCACTATCGTTATTATCGCCACCATTACCATCGTTACCACGACTAACACTATCAGCATTATCATCACCACCATCATCAACAGTACGATCACAACGCCCGCATTACCGTCATTATCATCATCACCATCACCACTATCACGATTATGATCGACATGATTAGCATGATCACCATCATCACGAATATCACTAACATCATCATCATCGTCTTGGTATCATTATTGATTATCAGCATTATTAACATCAGCATCAACATCATCGTCATCAATATCGTCACCACCGTCTCCATTATCATGATTCCATGATTATCATCATTATCACAACTATCACCATCACCATTATCGCCACCAGCATCGTCGTCATCCCTATCATTATCGCCATCATCATCACTAGCATGATCATCATTATCATCACCATTGTTAACAGTATCACGACCATCATCATGCTTATCACTATTACCACTATCATCACCACGAGCACCAGTACCATCACCATCACCTCTATCGTTCTCACCCCCATCATCATTACCGCTACCACCATCATCACCATCATCATGACGTCGTCATCAGCATAGTTATGATCACTATCATTATCATGATTATTTAAAATTATCGGCAGCATCATCATCAACACAACGATTATCACCATAATGATTACCACAATCACAGTTATCATCATCAGCATTACCTCGAAGATCACTATCATCATCATCATCATTTTCAGGAATATCACTACCGGCACCTCCAGTATCATCCTCGCCATCTTTATCGTCATCATCACCATGATTATCATTATCACGATTATCATCATTATCGTCGTCATCATCATCATTGATACCGTTATCACCATCATCGTTGAAAGTATCATTTACATGACTTTCATTATCATCGTTGCTATCATTATCATCACCATCGCCATCATTGCCATGATTGTCACAACTATCATCAGCATCATGACCCCCACCAAGATTGAACTCATCATTGCACGATTGATAATAATAATAATAATGGCAATGGTGATGATGGTGACGAAGCTGAAATCCAACATCTTTAACTGTTGATTACTGATCTCCGTCTGGCGCAATTTTTATACTGGTTTCAATAACAGACATATGAGTCATCGATTAATGTAAAACCACACTTCACTAAACCACACACCACACTCCACTACACTGCACCACACCACATCACTCTCCACTAAACTCCTGTACACTACACTACACCAAAACACACTATACTACATCACATCACACTACACTACATCACACCATACTAAACTAAACCACACTACACTCCACTGCACTACACTGCAGACCACGCTACACACTACACCCTACTCCACTACACTACACCACACTGCACTGCACCACACCAAACCACACTAAATGGGAGAAATTGCATCGTCAGTGTTCTATGCAATTAACTGACTATAAATGATCTAACGTGTGTCGAGTAAGTTTAAAAATTTGAATGATTCGTCAAAATAACACCAAATCAACCCATCGTAAAATGCTAAATAAAAGTAAAGTATCAATCAATGCAAAAGTCTAACAACAAATGGCATTAGAATTAATCAATTATCGATCCAGTTTATGCAATAAATGCCGACTCGAAGTGAATAAATAATCAACCCAACGTAAGGTAATTAAGTAGCTACCTTAAAATTCAAATTCAAGATCACGTGTGAATTTTTGATCCCTGTATATTAACACCAAATCATCACCTTTTTTAACTTTAATAAGTATCGTTTTTAGTTAAAAGGGAAAACATTAAGGTAAAATTCAAGTATTATTACTAATCAGCTCTAAAACGGCCTACATGACTTACAAAATGTACCAATTAAAATTGATTGAAATAAATGATCAACTTTAATCAAGGCTGTCGACCCAATTCGAAAAAGTAAAGAAAATAAAGTAAAATTCCCGTTCCAGAGTACACCATAGCATTCCAAAAAAAATTTTTTTACCAACCGATATTCGAATAAATTTCCAATCAAAATGCACCTTTATGCCCACTTTATCATATATCCATGATGGTGATAATCCTGATGATGATGATGACCAGTCAAAGTGGATTTAAACAAGTAATCAACGACAAGCGGGTCAACGTTAGTTACTTCTCGTCTAAGCAATCAATCTAATACGAACACACTGAAAAACTAAACGAATTCTTAGTCCAAAATAGACGAAGGCATTCCAAGACATTATTCGGATATCGATTGGAACATAAATTTTATCAGTTTCTTCACAAAGTACACCTAAAAACCCATTTTATATCAAATATCGATGACGATAGTGATGATGATGGTGATGGGGTTTGTGGTGTTAACGATGTCGATGATGATCGTGGTGATGATGTTGATGATGGTGGCAATGGTGAGGGCGGTGGTGGTGATGATGATGATGGTGATGGTGGTGGTAGCTGTGATGATGATGGTGACAATGTTGGTGGTGGTGGTGGTGGAGGATTGTGATGATGATAATGATGATGACAAGAACGATGATCAGTTAAAACAAAACAATTAAAATCGAATTAAGCTAATTACGAACGAAAGCTACTCCAACTCAATTAACTCCCGTCCAGGCAGTCGACCGAATTTCGAAAAATAGAAAAACTAAACAAATTCTTGATCAAAATCAAACCAAATCATTCTGGGAATTTACGAGTATATTAACCGCAAATGAAATTCACATCGGAAATTATACCAAAAATACACTTATTAACCTACTCTCCATCAAATATCCATGTTGATGATGAGCACGACAACCGCACGCGTTTAATAAATCAGCCAATCAAATTAGGATGTGTTATTAATCATCTATCCACCGTCCCAGTGAGAATTAAAGCAAAATAAACCTAATTGTCTTTCCAAGTCAAGCCAGGTCATTCCAAATTAAATGAAAATGAGGTAACTCCTACTACGATTAAAACCGCATTAGTAATATGTGATTGTTCACCAATCTAAGTAAAATCAACTCTAAACTAATTATTCATGAACTACTATTAAGTTTTTTTTTCCAAGTACTCCTGTGTATCTTCTATAAACTTTCATAGTCTACGATACACTAACTACTAGCAGAATATTAGTAGCCATGTTTTTACGCCTTGACACTCGCTCTATTACGTGAGGCATTTCGGTGTGCGTGCAGTTGTCGGTCACAAAACTCTTTCTACTCACAGGCATTTAGTAGCAACTTAATTTACGCCTTAGTGCACCTTTACACCTTAAATTCGAATTAAGCAAATTACAAGCGAAAGCTACTCCAACTCAATTAAATCTCGTCCAGGCCATTGACCAAATACGAAAAATGGAAAAATTGAGCACATTCTTGGTCAAAATCAAACCAAAGCATTCTATGAATTCACAAGTATATTAATCGCAAAAGAAATTCTCATCGGAAATTCCACCAAAAATACATCTATAAAGCCGCTTTCTATCAAATATCCGCGGTGATGATGATGAGGAGGAGGACGACAACTGGACGAGTTTAATCAATTACACAATCACCACATTAAGGTGCGTTTTTAATTCTTCTATCTACCGTTCCAGTAAGAATTAAAATAAAATAAATGCAAATAGTTATCGTTCCAAGACAAGTCAACTCCAGTCATTCCAGATCAATTTAAAATGAGGTAATTACTATTGCTATTAAAATCCCATTCATGCATGATATGTGATCGTTCGTCAATCCAAGTAACATCAACTCAAAGGCTATTATTCGTGAACTACTATGAAGCAATTTTTTTTCAGGTACGCCTGCCCTCATGTCTCCTGCACACTTCTACCAAGAAGCCGCATTCCCTTTGCGACCATAGTTTGCGTTACCATTACTACTAGCAAAATATCAGTAGACATGATTTTGCTTCTTGACCCCCTCCCTATAATGTAAAGTATTTCAGTTTACTTGCCAGTTTACGTGCAGTTATTGATTCGCAAAAACCTGCCAACTCATAGGCATTCAGTAGAACCTTAGCTTGCGTCTCGATACCATCCTCCAAACATACCAAATGCCCCAAATCTAAGATCTAACATGCTATACTTTGTCATGCTCTAAAAAAAGCCATTTTCCGCGCAGGCGTAGAGTCACAGTGACACTCGGTACTACTTACACCTGGACAAGTTAGCACCTCTTTTGACACCTTTCCAAGTCCCTCTTCCCTCTCCTCCCTCGACAAACCCTCTATCAATTACTGTGACTGTAGAGCAACAAATACGAATACAAAAGGTTTATTAAAGCCATCGAATCTGCACTAGATAACTTATGGTGGTAGGCGTTAAAAAACATGCACACATTCAGGGGGTGCATGCGTCGAATTGGGCCATCGATAAGCAAAAATGTACTAAATATGTCGCAGAGTGACAAGATGAATTGAGCGAATTTGGTCAGAAGTCCGTGAATGCGACTAAAGTGTAGTCAGTTGAAAATGAACTACGTGCTTTTACCGGCGTTTGCACTTGTGCGGTTAGAATTCGCGTGCGAAATTAACCAGCAAGGGCAATAATGTCACTTTGGACTCACAACGCCAACTTTATTGATAGCGACATCTTGAAGGTGCTAGCATCGAGGCCTTAGCAACCAGAGTTGTGATTTCATGTTTGAGGGCTGATCTAAGAGGTGCGTAATAATCGAACCGGTGGTTCGAACTAGTGATGGATTTTAAATGGCTGGTGATGTTTTGAAGGTGTCGTCAATAAATGGCAACTCACTGGTTGCCAGATCAAATGTGAGCTCAGCACAGGCTCAGCACACGCAAGACATGAACAGACAAAGAGACCTGAAACAGACGAGGCAGGCTTTACGTCGCCTGGGCGAAAATGCCTGAGATATTTTTGGCAAAGGCGGTATTACAAGTGAGGTAAATTAAATTGCGGAGAAATTCGAGCATGCTCTTGGGGCTGTACTGTGGGGTGTAGGAAGAATGTGTCAGTGACGAGTTTACTGACTAGTGAACTCTGCCGACATGATCAAAGATCGCGCACCTTGAGCTATCCCTATCACTAACTTTATTATATTTCGCTATTCGATAGAAGTCTAAGGCGTTATTTCATTATCTCACGCGCAATCCTTGGTGTCAAAGGCACTGCTTACATGACATCGGATTTATCAGAGCCACGATGCTAAAAACATTATTT